CCCAGGATTTTTCCACATAATTTCCAGCTTTTCTGGTACAATGGTTCTTGAGAAGAAGATTTTCAATTTTTTTCCTATACATTTCAAAGTAAAACTTGGATTCCCTATTGTGGACCTACACTATCCCTGGTGTCAAAATTTGAACAATGTAGAATCTACACTACCCCAGATGTTTCCACATAAGTTTCAGCTTCTCTGGCCCAATGGTTCGTGAGAAGATTTTTCAATGACCCCATCCTAGTTTACTCTTTGCTTGATTATTTCCCCTTGGAACAAGCATGGTCCTTTATTTTAACAATTATTTAAACTCTCCTCCACCCAAGGCTGCTTTGTACCAAGTTTGGTTAAAGATGGCCCAGTGGTTCTTGAGAAGAAATTGAAAATATGAAAATTTAACAAATGGAGAGACTAACAACAGCTGAACCGAAATTTAAACTCACTTGAGCTTTCAGCTCAGGTGAGCTAAAAAGCAGATGAAGTGCAAGTACATCTGTATCATTGAAGATGTATATATAATCCTTTCACTCTTCAAATTTGGTTAAAGAAGAAGGTACAGCTTCAATAAAAATTAAGCCCTATATTTTTCTAAACTATGAAAGTGATATAGGAAATTAAAATTCATTCTTTCTGAATCATTGGAATTCTCGGCAGTAAGAATACACAAATGGGTTTTCTCATATGATCTCCAAAATGCTAATTGTGACGTCATTAACTTGTGCATTTTCACGTATTTTCTTAAAAAGATGCAGAAGTCATCAATTTTCAGTAGAATTTTCTTTCAGAAAACATACTCTGCCACCGTCGCATGGAAAGATTTTGATATATGTGATTTTTCATAGCTGTTCGCACAATATATCCAAAAATTAAAGCGGGCGACGGTGGCAGACACTATTTTCTAAAGGAAAATTAGCAGAAAAATGAGTCATTTTGAAGCATTTCTGCATTTAACTCAACAAGAGGCAAAAGGGCCTTGAGTCGCTCTTCTGATAAATTGTACAATCTATCACATCTATTTGAAGCCTCTACCCTAAGTATCATAAGACCCAAGCTGCATCAACTGACAAAGTTTGATGATTCTTAGCCAATTAGGACTGAAAATATTTTTAATAATAAAGCTATGAAAAAAACAATAAGTACATCACATTGATCTATATTAAGATTGAAATTTTCTGAGGACTCAAGATGCATTAATAAACAAATTAAAGATTGAAGATTCTAAGCCAATAAGTATTTGAGATATTTAAGAGTAGGTCACTGTGACCTACTTTTTTTGTCTACATTCTTTAAAAACCCAAGATACATCAACTGACAAAGTTTGATGATTCTAAACCAATTAGGACTTAAAATATTTTTAATAATAAAGCTATAAAAAAAACCATAAGTACATCACAGTGATCTATATTAAAATTTTCTGAGGACTCAATTGCAAGATGCATTAATAAACAAAGATTGAAGATTCTAAGCCAATAAGTATTTGAGATATTTAAGAGTAGGTCACTGTGACCTACTTTTTTTGTCTACATTCTTTAAAAACCCAAGATACATCAACTGACAAAGTTTGATGATTCTAAGCCGATAAGTCCTTGAGATATTCACCATGACCTACTTTTTGGTCGATATTCTCTTAAACCAAAGATACATCATCAAACAAAGTTAAACCAGATAGTATCTACGGTACTAAATAAAGCCATTAAATGTCAAAAAATTAGGTCACAGTGACCTACTTTTTGGACATCATTCTCCGAAACACAAGATGCATCAACTTACAAAGTTTGGTGATTCTAAACCAATAAGTACCGTAAATACCTAAATTAAGCCATAAAATTTCAAAAGTAGGTCACCGTGACCTACTTTTTGGTTGTCACTCTTTGAAAACTTAAGACGCATCAACTCACAAAGTTTGATGATTCTAAGCCAATAAATACCTAAGATACTTAAATAAAGCCATAAAATGTCGAAAGTAGGTCAAGTGACCTACTTTTTAGACATCATTCTCTGAAACCCAAGATGCATCAACTTACAAAGTTTGATGATTCTAAGCCAAAAGTACCGTAGATACTTAAATTAAGCCATAATAATGTCAAAAGTAGGTCACCGTGACCTACTTTTTGGATGTCACTCTCTGAAAACCTAAGACGCATCAACTCACAAAGTTTGATGATTCTAAGCCAATAAATACCTAAGATACTTAAATAAAGCCATAAAATGTCGAAAGTAGGTCAGTGACCTACTTTTTGTTCGTTACTCTCCGAAAACCCAAGATGCATAAACTTACAAAATTTGATGATTCTAAGCCAATAAAGTACTGTAGATATTTAAATTAAGCCATAAAAAGTCAAAAGTAGGTCACCGTGACCTAATTTTTGGTCGTCACTCTCCGAAAACCCAAGACGCAACAACTCACAAAGTTTGATGATACTGAGCCAATAAATACCTAAGATACTAAAATATAGCCATAAAATATTGAAAGTAGGTCACAGTGACCTACTTTTTGGACATCATTCTATGAAAACGAAAGATGCATCAACTTACAATTTGAAAGTTTGATGATTCTAAGCCAATAAGTATCGTAGATACTTAAATTAAGCCATAAAATGTCAAAAGTAGATCACTGTGACCTACTTTTTTTTCGTTACTCTCTGAAAACCCAAGATGCATCAACTCACAAAGTTTGATGATTCTAAGCCAAAAAAATACCTAAGATACTAAAATATAACCATAAAATGTTGAAACTAGGACATCATGACCTATATTTTGGTCGACATTTTTCAAAGCCACAAGATGCAGCTGCTGTCCAAGTTTGATGATCCTAGGTCTGAAGGTAATCAAAATATGCCTTTTAAACAATTTGAAAACAAATGCCTGCAAAATTCAAAAAGTACGTCACAGTGACCTACTTTTTCATAAATATGTTTTAAGGTCCCAAGATGCATCACTTTACAAAATTTGATGAATCTAAACCTCTCAGTGTCTGAAATAATTGGATTAAATGTTTTTAAAAGAATTAGTCATACAGTTCAAAAAGTAGGTCACAGTGACATACTTTTAAGCTGGCGTTGTTCAAGGACCCAAGATGCATCAACTGACAAAGTTTGATGATCATAGGCCTTAAAGTGCCCAAAATATGCCTTCAAATCAATTTGAAAATAAATGCTTACAAAATTTAAAAAGGAGGTCACCGTGACCTACTTTTGAGTTAACATGATGTGAAGTCCTGAGATGCATCAACTTACAAGATTTGATTATCCTAGTCCTAATAGTAAGCAAAATATAAACGTTTTTATTATTTGTAAATTTAGGTCAACTTTGAAGTAGTGACCTTGAGACCACGCCCTTTGCCCCAGGGTCATGCCTTGTACAATTTTAAATCTTCAACATATCCTGATCCTTGTATGTAAGTTTCGTGAAAATCTGCCTGGTGGTTCTGGAGAAGATTTTTTAGCAACCAGTACTTTTGGTTTTGTTTTCCTGATTATCTTCCCTTGTTTAAGGGTCCCAAGCCTTATTAGCTCACCTGAGCCGAAGGCTCAAGTGAGCTTTTCTGATCAAAATTTGTCCGTTGTCTGTCGTTGTCGTGGTCATCATTGTCGTAAACTTTTCACATTTTCATCTTCTTCTCAAGAACCAATGGGCCAATTTCAACCAAACTTGGCACAAAATATCCTTGGGTGAAGGGGATTCAAGTTTGTTCAAATGAAGGGCCACGCCCTTTTCCAAGGGGAGATAATCATGAATTTGTTAAAAATTAATGGCATTTTAAAAAAATCTTCTTCTCCACAACCGCTGGGATATGAAAGATGAAACTCATGTAGAAGCAACCTCAGGTAGTGTAGATTCAAGTTTGTTCAAATCATGACCCCCGGGGCAAGGGTGGGGCCAAAATGGCCGACCCAAGTTTTACATAGGAATATGTAGGAAAAATCTTTAAAAATCTTCTTCTCCAGAACCACTGGACCAGGAAAGATGAAACTCATGTGGAATCATCCCCAGGTAGTGTAAATTCAAGTTTGTTCAAATCATGACCCCCGGGGCAAGGATGGGGCCAAAATGGCCGACCCAAGTTTTATATAGGAATATAAAAGAAAAATCTTTAAAAATCTTCTTCTCCAGAACCACTAGGACAGGAAAGATGAAACTCATGTCGAATCATCCTCAGGTAGTGTAGATTCAAGTTTGTTCAAATCATGACCCCGGGGCAAGGGTGGGGCCAAAATGGCCGACCCAAGTTTTATATAGGAATATATAAGAAAAATCTTTAAAAATCTTCTTCTCAAGAACCACTAGGACAGGAAAGATGAAACTCATGTGGAAGCATCTTCAGGTAGTGTAGATTCAAGTTTGTTCAAATCATGATCCCCTGGGGCAAGGATGGGGCCAAAATGGCCGACCCAAGTTTTACATAGGAATATATAGGAAAAATCTTTAAAAATCTTCTTCTCCAGAACTACTGGGCCAGGAAAGATGAAACTCATGTGGAATCATCCTCAGGAAGAGCAGATTTAAATTTGTTCAAATCATGACCCCCGGGGCTAGGGTGGGGCCAAAATGGCCGACCCAAGTTTTACATAGGAATATATAGGAAAAATCTTTAAAAATCTTCTTCTCCAGAACTACTGGGCCAGGAAAGATGAAACTCATGTGGAATCATCCTCAGGTAGAGCAGATTTAAATTTGTTCAAATCATGACCCCCGGGGCTAGGGTGGGGCCAAAATGGCCGACCCAAGTTTTACATAGGGATATATAGGGAAACCTTTTAAAATCTTCTTTACGAGTACTTCAAAGCTATGATTAGTGATATTTATAAGGAATCATCCTCAGGTAGTGTAGATTCCAGTTTGTTCAAATGATGAACGCCTGGAGGGGGTTGCGGTGGAGTAAATTCAAGCCTGATGTGCTCAGGTGAGCGCTGTGGCCCATGGGCCTCTTGTTTTAGTATAAAGGGTAACCCTTGGGCCAAGGATACTCTGTAAGTAATTTGATACTGATCAGCCAAGGGGTCCTTGAGTTATGGCCCATATTCTAAAAAGTTAATGCACACCGCACAAATGGCCATTGCATTAGCTCTTTGAGCCTTTGGCTCAGAAGAGCTAAATATATACCAAATTAATGACGTCATATTTCAAAAAAGGCTCTTCATCATGCCATATTCTTTTATGATTTATCATATTCATCTACTCAACTATTGTAAAAGCCAATTTCATAACTTTTTAAGAACATTAAATTTTTAGGGCACAATAAAGCTCAAACCGTACCGTCTTCTTACACCTCATAAACTTTATTAGTATAGAGTGTTTGCCATTGAGATGATTTAAGCAAGAGTTATTCCCCATTGCCTCCATTAAAGACCATATTGTAGTTCAACATTCCAAGATCCCTTCAATATTCAAGCAAGTTCAATTTGTTATACTGGTTATGGCTGTAAAGATATCACTATTTTTCTTTTAAATGTATGTTTGTTAAAGCTTCTATTATTCATAATTTTAAAGATTGTAAATATTTCCCCATATATTCCTTCCATGCATGTTTAAAATTAGTTGCTCAAGGAGGAAAATTCACTACTTTGCGGCTAAGGGAATAACTCAAAGGCAAAATACGTCATAGGAAATCAGTCAATTAAAAACAAGAATTTTTTTTTTACATGATGATTTCAGTTGTAATTAGTTGGATATTAATGAATTGACTAGATCATACAACATTACATTTGAATGCTACATGTACATGTAACTTTAGTTTTGTATGTGAGACCTCTTTTCTCTAAAATCATGAAAATGCATGGAGTTATTGACAAAAAGGAAATGACTTCTGTGTCAGAATCACTGCATTATACATGTTTCTATTAATTTAGAATACCTATGATGCAATATTTAATTACACAAAATCTAAATGAAATTTTAATCTATTTAATTTCAAATTCAACAATTATTGCAATTTTCCATAATTTGTTCATGTACAAAGACTGATCAGTGACAAAAAATGTACATTACACTAAATAGTGTACAGAGTAAATATGTTGAGGTAGAATATATCTAATATTTTCTAACTACTAAAAAAGGATATAACACTTTGAAATAAGCAATTCTCATCTTTGTCAATGTGACATTTTAATTGATAATGTTCTCCTAAATCTTCCCATACATGTACAGTGAGTTCATCACCCTCTAAACACTCTCCTAAATAATGAGATTGAATTTTGCTGATTCCCTTTCCTAGATTCTCTTCAAAGCTTGGCAGGGAACCAGTTCTTGCGGCATGATGGGCAGCGTCTTTGGCATATCGGACATAAGCACTCCAGGTAGTATGATTATTCATGTCAGTGTCACTCCATGCCACTTTGGCATGGTAGATACTTGTTTTATCTGCCCTTGGAAACTTCTCTAGTCTGTAAGACTGAAAATTCTTAGCTGTCTCTGCATACTTCATTTTCCACCAAGAGGGCAGTGGTTTAGGTCGCCTGGTTTCAAAATCAATACTGACAACTTGGTTGATATTGCTGATGAGGAGTTCATTGGTTGCTGATTTCAAAAATGAGTGTGAATTAAAGGACGTATTTCCAATGTAGCCTCCCTTCACAGTTGTCAACAGTGTACTTTTAGGTACATCGGGGTCATACAAGGCCTTGGTGAAACAGACTTCTGAAGTTACAAGGAATGTTAAGCATTCACTTGTCAGTTTTTCAAAGTCCCTGAATGTTCTGCCACTTTCATCTAATGGCTGATGGTGAACAAACATCCTGCCAGAAACCACTAAGTTCATCATGTTCCAAATTTTTGGCTGACCTACAAATTATCATCAAATGACTTCATATTTCAACAAATGTATTAATGATTTGATTGTCTTGTAGAAATTAGCAAAAAAATTTATATGTCCTTGTCATCTTTGTGCAGCAATGGTTGACAGGATATACATACTAATGGGCAGCAGTTTTTTGAAATTAATATTTGGCATTAAATTAAATAATTACTTACAATGTATAAATTTGTAAAAATTAAAATTTGCAAAAATTAAAAAAAATGCAGTATTTTTTACTTTAAAAAATCAAATTACAAGCCCAAATTTTCATAATTTTTTCCCTGAATTATGATTACAAATGAAATCTTTTTTCAAATTAAACCTTTTTTTGTTCTGAAATATGTTGCAATGCACTTATTGCTAGCGCTCTCGAGCGCTAGCAACTACGTTAGTCCAAATTCCTTGAATACGCATGCTTGGCCGCCATGGTCGTGCATTCTGGGAAAACTGTGAAAAACTAATACAAATAGACCGTACGATAACAATTTCGTTGTATCATGTTGTAGCATGAAATAACTGTTTATTTATTGTGTAACTTACACTTTAAAGATAACTATTTCAAATTCTTAGGTTTTTTTTTGCTGACGGAAAAGCCCGATTCATTATCTGATTGTTCTAAACAATGACAAGGGAGGTTGTTGTTGCTTTTTTTTTTTGTTTACATCTAAGCACAATCAAAGATAGATTCTAATTTCTGATTGGTCAATTTAGCCAATCTTACAAATTCCAGAAACAGAAGCAAGAATTTACACTAAAAATAACGAATAAATCCAGTATTTGTGTTAAAAAAATTCTGATGTGTATGGTTTTTAACGTAACATATCTTGACAAAGATGACCCAAAGGACCAATTAAGCTACTTCACATGCGATCCAAACTCTCAGGACTCTTTACACGAAATACACACGACATACATTTATTTTCTATATTCCTTTCAACTCCCATGTATTTTCTTTGCTAAATTGCCAAGAAATTCTCTTCTTTAAATCAGCTAATATATACATGTACATGCAATGTCTCAATCGGCATCTTCTTCATATTATATAGAGCCCCCCTCTCTCTCCAGTAAAGGTCATATATGTTCCGTTGCGCCAAAACTCCAATAGGTCACACCCCCCCCCCCCCTATTTCTTAATAAAATAAAATATGCCTCACAGAACAATAATAACTTTATCACTCTCCAGCCTTGATAGAAATTAAAGAATTCAGGAAAATAAATAACTTGATCATGAATCTTCCTTTCTGTGTTTAAAAAATGCTACGGCGGTAGCTCACCCATCTTTTTAAAAGATAAACTTGTTACACCTATAAGGAAGACAACTCTGAGGTAGTCACAATGTCTTCTATAGTATTGCCATTGTTTATTATATAAATTTCAACATGATATTCAACACTGAATCAAGCTGAATAGAGCACTTACTCTTTTGTTATAAGCAGTAAGTCATGTTGGTGATTGATAAAAATAAAATCACACATGTATAATGCTTATATTTTTTACATTTTCTCCAGATTTGCTTTTCTGTGGTATAGAATTTAGGAATACATTAAAATAAGAATTTAGGAATACATTAAAATAAGTATAATTACCATAAACATCATAATCTGATACTGTGGGCCCGGGATGACTGACTACTGCCTCTACTGCCGTCTCATCAACCGAGAGAAGTTTAAATCCACAGTTCTTCAAAAAATGTCGAGATATCCTCCTAATAAAGGGGAAAGATTATAAATAATTTTATATATTAATCTGAAAATCATCAAAAATCATCTATATTCTGATGACATGTGTTTAAGTTATAAAAAAAGTTTATTTTTTTGTTAGGCCTGCACAATAACTCATGTTCGACTATACGTATGTACATGTATGCATAATAAACAATCATGAATATGCAAGATTTACATGTGCTTACCATGCTTACAAATATGCAATTATAACATCTATAAATATGTTACAGGAATTCATGGTTTTTCAAACTAAGTTAATTTGCTCATGACATTGAAGTACCTCGTTAATTCAGTGCTAATGTCTTTCAACATGTTCAAATTCAGGCCAAAAAAAATAATAGTCTTGTTTCCTGCTACCAGTCTGAAAAAAATAGGGTAGGTAGGTAGGAAAAATATTTTATTTTTTATTTTCATTTTACTTTTTCCCATTGGTATTTGTTGGATATGAACTATTACAAAACCAAACTAGAAAACTGACCAGTCAGCAAGGGCCCCGCTAAGGGGTAGAAATATAAGGGTGCAGCTCAATGAATGAGAGTTTTACTTGATTACGTTTTTAAAAAAAATATATAAATAAAGATAATAACTAACAACTGTATTTTTAAATTTTCAAGATAATTCCTTAATGTCCAAAAAACCTGTAAATAGTAACAACACTTGTTTTTCCATAAAACAGGGAAAACCACATGTCTTATAAAAAAAAAACTTAATTAAATGTGTACTTAAAAAAGATTTAAGCAGGTGTTTTATAAAATGCAAGCCTTCAGTGAATGCAAATATCACCCAGGGTTGACCAGACTTGACCTTTACTTCAAAACAAACATCGGTTGCAGACAAAGGTGTACATTAATCTCATTTGACAGATAAAGATAAGCCTCTAAATTTTCTGCAGCAGGCTAGATAATTAATCCCAAGGGATTAATTGTACTGGTCTCTCATCCTTTTCTTCTAAATTTACAATAAGTACTTTTTTCAGCACTGACATAATGGGGTTATTATCTGATTACTGTTAGAATTAAAAGCATTAAGGCAGCAAATATATATATATATATATATATATATATATATATATATATATACATATATATATATTATATATATATATATATATATATATTATATATATATATATATAGATGATTCCAAAAATAAAATAGTACTAATAAAAAATGATATCTTAATATATATATCTTAATTTTAGAGTTCAATAAAATAATAAATCATTGTGTACAATATTTTAACCAAAATAAGGTATGAACATTTTAATAATTTAAATCCATATTTCAGAGAATGTACACATCATTCAAAATTGACCTTAACTTCAAAACAAAGTTCATTTGCAGACAGAGTCCGTACAGCTATTAATGTCAATGTGACAGATAAAGATAATGCTTAGGATTTTCTTCATGTGGAAGGTTAATTAATCCCAAAGGAAAAATTGCACAGCCTTCCCAGTTTACAATGGTAACATTCTAAGCAGTTATCTCTCTTTGCCCATTCATTCTTATGCATAATTAAGGAATCTACCCCACCACCCCAGCTCCAAGCCAGAAGACATAGAGAACCAAACTTGGCATCAAAATATGTATTTCTGCCTACTGAACTACCATACCAAATTTGAACTTGATTGAGCAACCATTAAAAAAGTTGCCCATTCATTCTTATGCATAGTTAAGGAATCTACCCCACCACCCCAGCTCCAAACCAGAAGACATAGAGAACCAAACTTAGCATCAAAATATGTATTTCTGCCTACTGAACTACCATACCAAATTTGAACTTGATTGGGCAACCATAAAAAAAGTTATTAGAAAAAAACAGGAAATTTGTGGACGGAAGAGTGACAGACGGACAGACAGACAGACGGACGGACGGACAGAGTGATTACTATAGGGCACCCGCAAATCCTTGCGGGGCCCTAATTAAACATGTCATAGGTCAATATTATCATTTAAAATAAGTAGTGTTTTATGAAAGTCCATATTTAAAACTTATATTTCATGAAACCCCGCTTGAATATATATATATTTTCACTTTTGGATCATGAAATTTCTGATTTTCTCCCAAAAACTCAACTAAATAAAAACTTCAGGGTCGGTTGCAAAAAAAAAAAAAGGGTAGATCGGGACCGGTCGGGTAGCAGGAAACAAGACTATCTTTATTTTTGGCCTCATAGTTCTGTGTTTGGAACTTCCCCCCCAAAAAAGAATTCAAGAAGCATGAGAAGAGTAGGGGTGTGTCAGTGTACATTAATCAATTGCTTTCTGTGAACTTCAGCTCTAAATTTTTCAGAATATATTTTAAGTGCAAAGTTTACAAAAGGGATATACATGTATTTTGATAAGCATGGAAATCCATACAAGACCTAACAATTACATGTAACCATAGGTAATTCTGTAAATGACGAAAGATTAGTATATAAAGTGGTCTAACCCTCTCTACTATAAAATCAATGTACACATTAGAAAATCGCATAGACATTGGAAAAATGGATTTCCATGCTAGGTCCCTATAAATCAAAATCTGAATCATGTTTATTTTAGTAGATATAAATTTAAAAAATCAATGGTATCATACTTGTATCCTGGATTTCGAGCAACTGATGCCATTATTCAAGCATCTGCATTTGTGGGACGATGATTATTACTGTGTAGTTCTACTTTCTGACACAAAATGTGACAAATGCATATGTAGTCGTTCGTTTTTTAACACCCTGTACCACGAGCCCGATTTATTTACCTCACCAAACCCAATATTTATCTTCAAAGGCTGAATAAAGTCAAGTAAAAGGCCCTGAGAGTCACCTAAATAATTATGAATAAAATACATAAATATACTTTTATTCATAGTTTAAAACAGTAAATTAAAAAACAATTTGCTCTTTCAATAAACTATATAACTATAAACTTGAAATCAATTACATATTTTTATAATTATTTTTTTTTGTATCATTTAGTAATGCAATTACAGGGACGTAGCAACCGCGGGGGGGCCACTTTTTTTTGCCAACAATACTTTTACTATTTAAAATGGTCATTGAAAGGCTGGTCCCCCCCCCCACTTTATACCACTGGTAATATGTAATATGAAGGAAATATAGTGTTTTAAGCTTAAAAATAGATATGTAAAAGGAATATTAGGCCTAGTAGTGAAAAAAAGTTTGTATCTAACCCCCCCCACCCCCACGAAATAGGATTTTCGACTTTGGGCAATTTTCCCCCTTTTTTTTTCTTTGTCAGCTTTTCTGGTAAGTAAAAAAAAAAAAATTCTCTGGTTGCCCCCCCCCCCCCCACTTTCAAAATCGATGCTACGTGCCTGAATTAAAATTAAGATCGAAATTGAATGCCTCGAATGACCAGTGGTGCCAATGGAACACCTTACATACCAGTGACCACAACATGGCCTTGGTAACTAAAAATACCAACGATCTTCACTCTTTATCTTACTTTGCCCCAATTTCGACTACCATTATATAACTGAGGCTAGACGTATATCATGAACG